TGTGTGTGTGTGTGTGTGTGTGTGTGTGTGTGTGTTTGTGCATGTGAGTATGTGTGTGTATGTGTGTCTGTTTAAAGATCTTGTAAGAAAAAAAGCAAAATCTTGTATCGGCCCTGGAGCTGAGATTTGCTCTATCATGAATGCAATACATAAACAGTCAAACGGCCAACAGAACAATATGTCGACTTTGAAAGATTTCACTCTGGAGGAGTTGATAAATTCTCTTGTACTCTCCGAGTGATTTTATTTCCCTCACTTTTGTTTGCTTAATGTCAAGCTGAACTGAGGTTCCGTGTTCCAAGTGTGGGTAGTGTGACGTAACTCTTTATGAAATGTATTTATGCTACCTATTTATGTACATTCATCACTCTTCAGCTCCCCTGTCCAATCCGTGTTAGTCGTCTACGTGTAGAAATGGCGGCGTGTATTTAATTTCGGCACCAGATATATGTGCACGTCTTGGTGATTTTCAAAGGTTGGACTGCTCTATAGGTGAACCTATTATCTTAACCAAGGGTAGACCAACGCTCTTAATTACAGGGATCAGGAGTAATTCAAAGAACGACCAGGGTACTCTGGACGATACAATGACATGTGGTGCTAGGGAAAGAATAGAGAGAGGGATTCTATTGAGTTTTCCACGGGACTAGGTACGGCAAAAGGCTGAAGGTTTAAACTTAGAGCTGCTCCCCAAACAATCTCTCAAAACTATTGACAGAGAGAACAAAGACGTAGAGTCTGGACGTGGATATCAATTGTCGTGGGCGTTCAAGAGTTCATGTATAAGCTACAAGAACTTGCAATTCCTGACTGACGCTGAGTTTTTTGCATGACATGTCTTCCTGGACGTTGAGACAGCTTTCAGATTTATGGACACAACTCACATGTATGGATAACGTGAAAGACCTGCATGGCAAATTGCACATTATCTCTAGTGAATCAGGGCAAGTGAAGAAAAGACGATGTGATGGAATAAAGGAACACGACCCATTTCCAAAGAAAATATACCCATATGCCAGGGAAATACCTAAACTCAAAATGCCCAAGCAACATCCCTGAGAGATATACCTATCAGATGGGTGCCGCTTCTTTGAGGACAACTCAAACTGATCCGCCATGATTGTCATTTAAATATAATCGATCAAATTTGCCAGACACTAGACAAAGTTCAATAAGTTCTAGTCAATCGGCATACAGTGCATTGTCTTAACAGAAACTGCTTCATGGAGGGACAAAAGACAAATACAGATAAAGTGAACATCCCCAAATAGAAGCATTGTAAGGATCCTGCTGTTTCAACGAATGTTGCTTTGATAGTTTGCCCTTGAGTGGAGTATACCTGGAAGCCTGTTTAGAAAGTGAGTGTGGAATAAAAAAAAAAGGGAATATCCTGAATTAACTCGAGAAATGACCCACCAGCAGACCCAATGAGATAAAACTAAAGATCGAAAAGACCATATGGACCCACCAGACCTGCAACCCGAGGCGACTACACGTTCCTGCAAATAACAGTTTTGTTCCATAGACAGTGCAAAAGAATGAGTCTTACATTGTGTTTTTGTTGAGCAGAATAAGCTCATGAAATAAAGCGCTGTAAGTTGCATCCAGGGTGTTCGTTGTTATGAAGACAACTAGCTATTAGTTGAGAAATATGAGCTTGTAAGGAACGAGACAGTGCTGTACAACCTGCAGCACGACTATTGTGGTTTTATTCCGGAAGACTTGATGTCCCAAGACCAAAGCTAGTACCAAACCCATCAATGTCGAAAAGAACAATGCTGAAGAATCAAGATACAAAACGAGTAAGATAAAGCGTTCCTTATTTTACTGACAGCTCATAGTCATAAAAACGGACCAGATGATAACTGTGCTGCAGGTGAAAGAAGAGACAAAGAGAAATTAGGGAACACCCCTTACATCGTGCATTGAAAATGTAATTTCCGACAGTGGTCTATGACGTCATACAGTGATATATCAAAGCAGAGACGGAGAAAGATGTAGGCCTGCTGTGACAGGAAGTGGGACACCAACGGGCAAATACGACCATAGTCACAGGGGAGGTCATAAGAAGAATGTCAACAGTTCGGACGTGCGAACGTTTGAGCACCACAAGTGGGACTGTGAAAACCCATCAACTTTTCATTTGGAGAAACCATTTTTCCTTGAAGAATGCCTTCGACTTGCAAGTTAGTAATTATTCCTATCCAAGACTATGCCCTCCACATAGTCAGATGAACCACCCACGAATGAGCAAAGTGATATGACAACTGCTGATTTGGCTAGGGTAAACTAGCAACTGGAAGACTCACCTACAGGGAACAGCACGAATGGGGAGGCAAAGAGACAGACAGAGGAAACGATGGAAAGACAATAAGAAAGAGTAGACTTGCCGTGTCTAGTACATTTTATGTACTTCAGAAAGCTGAATACCGAGAGAAGTTGAAGAAGCTTGCTTCAAAATTTGGATCTGCAGGGGCTGCCAAACAGTGAGTCAGGCTATAGGATAGATGAAGGAGAAGGTGAGGATGAGGGTGAAAGTGGAGATGAAGGTGAAGGTAAAAGTGAAGTTACCAAAAAAGTTCAAATAATAAAACATCTTCCTGTAAGATTTGGCAAGGAACAGAAGAAAAAGATAGCAGCTTCGGTGACTAAATAATATTTCCTTTGTAATGGAACAAACGGCGAAGAAATTGACAAAAGAGACAAATAAATAATAGGTTTATAGTAACATAAACCATTGAGTCTGCCGAGCCAACTTCTTACATGCTAGAGAAAAAGCCAACAAAATGATGACAAAGAATAGTTGCAGCTCCTAACAAAGTAATTATATGGAATACAAAGCGAGATTCGTCCTATTCCTGCATGCTCCAGATGTGCCATCTGATCCATGTAAGGAGGAAAGCCCATGCACCAACGGCGGCACTTGCCTGATTGAGGGCGACGAACTTCTGTGCCTCTGTCCTGCCGACTTCACAGGACGATACTGCTCTGCTTGGTTTTTTTCTTTTGTCCTTTTTACTTATCAAACGTGTATTTTGACATATCTCAAGACTTAAATTGACAAATCACAACAGCGGAATATGTGTTAATGAGGGAGACAGCTTTGTGTGCGTGTGTCTAGCAGAATTGACAGGCAGAGACTGCTCTGTTGGGTAATATTAGGCTTATGTCAAGACCCCCCCCTCCCAAACAAAATGATAGTAATAAAAAGATAAAATGAAAATACACACAATGGCAGCTGGAAAGAGAGGGAGAGTTTTGCACTGGCAGGAGATGAAGAGACAAGCAAGATGCGAAGAGATTTTTCTTGCAAGGTCACAGACATTTGTGAGTACACAGTGCTACCAGCAGCAGTACTGAACCAATGATTTGACGTCACGTTAAAATTGTTACAGTTATTGTAATACGGATACGTGACCATTATGTATTGTATTATCAACAAATGCAGACAAAAACGTCAGACATCTTTCCCAAATAGGTCATCTAAAAAGGGTGCTTTTTCAGTTGGATTTCGACTAGTTAAGCAGGTTACCAAATCCGGCTTCACTATGTACAAGCTTTCTATTTCTAAATCGTAGATGTCTATTACTGTTCCTGCTATGTACTCCTGTGTCACCACAACTTTCAGCTATCCCAGCTGAGCCGTGTAAGTCTTCTCCGTGCATCAATGGCGGCAAGTGTTTGAACCAGGGAGACAACTTTTTTTGCGTGTGTCCAGCAACGTTCACAGGACCGACCTGTTCTGTAGGTATGTAATTGACGTATGGTGAATCAAAGTGAGAATAACGTGAGAAAAGACTGAATCATTCACGGGAACAACGGAGTACAACTGGAGAGCTCATTAGGACAAGACAGTTGATAATTAATTATGTGTCATTACCTTGTACGTACGTGTTGCTGCAATATAAATTTGTTACAGCTTGAAGCTCAATGCTTGCAGAATGCTGTGAATTAGGACCATTTTTAAGTGTGAAAAAAAGAGTTCATAATTATACAATTTTAAACAAAACCTACATTTAAAAAATTAGAAATTTCGACTAAATGGGGCAATATACCATGTGAGAGAAAGAAGCCAATTTATGTCCACAAAGACTTCCAAGCTCAAGAGGAACCCAGAGACATTCCGAATTTCTGCGTCCTACCATTCTCCAGTTGTGCCACCCGATCCGTGTGAGGAAAATCCATGCATCAACGGCGGCACTTGTGACCCTCAGGGCGATGACTTTCTGTGCATATGTCCTGTAGACTTTACAGGAAAAGACTGTTCTGTTGGTGAGTATTGTGACTATGTTTGATACATGCAAATGTAAGCAGATGGAATGAAATTCTATGAATGTTGTTACCACATCGTTGTGAAAACAAATTTCAATGTAAAATGCTCAATGTATTTGTTATCATTGTTTTGCTCCGATTCTTTGTCCTGTCATGACTGAAATGTGCCAGCAGCGAAATTATAACAAAGCCTCAAACTAATATCTACCAAAGGTACACAAAAAGTTGTTTTTATGGTAATGTCAGCAGGTTGATGTTACAGTATCAAAATTTGATTGTAGACTTAAACAACATTACAGAAGGTGTTTCAGTGAATCCTCGAAAGAATAACAACCAGAGAACCTGTAATAATGAGAGAGACAGCTTTGTGTGCGTGAGTCTTGCAGGATACACAGGCAGAGACTGCCCATGTTCTGTAGGCTAGTATTAGGCTTGTGATAATACTTCCTCCTCCCCCTTAACCGTCCCCCCTTCCCCCTCCCCCTCCCCCCTAAAAAAAAAGAAATGGGCATTATAAACACCGGAAAGATAGAGAGACCCTTGCACTTGCAGCTGACAAGATGATAAGCAAGATGCTTTACGGTTCGGGTTTTTTCTTGTGAGCTTACAATTTCCGTAAGTACAAAGTGCTACAAGCAATCATACCATCCCACAAGAATTGACGGCATGGTGAAATGATCACAGTTATAGTGATACCGTGTGGATACCTGACCATACCATTGTATAATCAACGAAACGTGTGGAAAAACATCCCACTTTTTAAGCAAATTAGTCATCTCAAAAGGTGTATAGTCGGGGTTTTTTTATATTTCAGCCAGTTGTGCAAGTTACCAAATTCAACTTCAATATACACCAGATTTCTATTTCTAACTCGTAGATGTCATTTTTTGTACCTGCTATGTACTCCTGTGTACCCACAACTTTCAGCTATCCCAGCTAAGCCGTGTGAGTCTTCTCCGTGCATCAATGGCGGCATGTGTTTGAACCAGAGAGACACCTTTTTGTGCATGTGTCCAGCAACGTTCACAGGACCGACCTGCTCTGTAGGTAAGTAATTGACAAGTCATTGTCACGAATCAAAGTGAGAGTGACACGAGAACGGACTGAAGCAATTCACGGTAACAAAGGATGACAACTGGAGAGGTATTTTAGGAAAAATGAAGTTAATTTTATTTATGTGTCATTACCTTTTTTACTTTTGTGTTCCTGCAATCCAAGTATGTTACTGCTTGGAACTCAATGCTTGCAGAATGCTGTGAACTAGGGCCATACTTTTAATTGTGGAATAGAAAGTGTGTACTTATATAGTTTTAAACATTATCTATATGAAAAACGTTAGAGATTTCGGCAGCATGGGACGATGTGCCAAGTGAGAGAAAGAAGCTATTTTGTGCATACAAAGATAATAATATCCACGTTTAAGGGAAACCTAGAGAAACAGCATTCCAAATTCCTGCCTTCTACCAATCTCCATTTGTGTCATCTGATCCGTGTGAGGAAAATCCATGCATCAGCGGCGGCACTTGTGTGCCCCAGGGCGACGACTTTCTGTGTATTTGTCCTGTAGACTTTACAGGACAAGACTGTTCTGTTGGTATGTACGACGTGGAAACATTGGAAGGTACAGAAATGGGTGATTCTTACAGAGACATCATAAGCGAGAGCATTTATTTTTCGTTCTTGGCTTCGTCCTTCCTTTCTAAGAGTAGCAATGTCATCGCCATCAGACCTCTTTTTGTGTGAAAGAAATTTTGTGATACAGGAAAAGAAGGAAACTTTAAATTGCCATCACAGCCATATGTCAAAATAAAACTGGAGGACATCTTGTATGGTGCACCTGTCTACTGGTAAAGACATATAAAGTTTCGGAGAAACTTGCGGAGATGATTTTTTGTTGTTGTCCATGGTGGATTTTGAGGTAGCAATTTCCTGTACTCCCGGAAAGGAAGCTATCAGAAAGGAGTGTGTCATGGGGAAAAGCCGCCAATTCCAGAGCACCACTTAAATGTAGAAAACTTTTTAGAAATCGTTCAGCCTCTTTTTC